CAGCAGACGCGAGCGCAGCGACGCGGAGCCGGTGCTGAGGTCGTCGGTGCTGCCGAACTCGCCGTCGTGGTCCGTAGTCGACAGCAGGTCGTCGTCAGATGTCGCCCTGAAATTATCAACAAACAACATTAAAGTACATAGAGAGCAGTGATTATAATGTAAAATAAAATAAATTGAAGCTTCGAAGCATACTCATATTGATCCGTTTTACAATGTTTGTATTTACAGATAATCTTTATGCGAAAGTTTTTATAGATGGACGTTAGAAGCTATCTCCAGAACGGCTCAACCTATCTTGATAAATTTCGGCACAAATGCAACATAGTCTGGAAGATCACATAGGCTACATTTTTTTCGCACGGCCGGAGCAGTGGGCAAAGCTAATTCTATTTCCAATATTGCCTATACTTAAACTATAGTAACAATACTGAAGGATCACTAAAAGTTTGGGAAAACAAAAGCATTTTAAAACTACAATTTTACTAATATAAATACAAACGTTTAGATGGATGGATATTTATTAGAGTTTGTAATAGGTTCCCGTGGGATATACTGATTGTTTTTTTTTTTATGTTTGCTCGATAATTCTCCAACGGTTCAATATGTTTTATTTAAATATGACACACACAATACTTGGGATACGGTTAATTTTCGAAAAATGTCAAGTTCCCGTGGGATACACTAATTTTGTTTCTTCTTAACACTGCGCGGACGGAGTCGCGGGCGATAGTTAGTGTTAAGGCAAAACAGCACTTTTTTTAAATATCATAAGATGGCAAACGAGCAAGCGGCCACCTGAATCCGCCAAAATGGCGAAGCGACCACTGCCCATAGACATCTGCAATTGCAGATACTTCGCCTACCCATATCCGACGGAGGAGGAGACGCACATAAAAAGGATATTTCCTTTTCCTATGCATCTCCTCCATCGTCAAATCAAAAACAGTTGTGTGCAGCGTACCGTATGAGCGTGGGCAGGTTGTTGGTGAGTATGGCCTTCTCCTTCTCTATCTCGCTGATGTGTCCCTCCAGCAGCTGCTGCTCGGCGCGCGGGTGCGCGGCGTCGCGCAGCGTGCGCAGCCGGTACGACGCCGTGTGGCTCGCCGTGTCCAGCGTCGCGATGTCCTGCAGCATGCCGCGCACCTGCACACACACACACACACAATGCATATTTATTTAATTATATTCTACAATGTTCTTCAAATAATTATTCTTTAATACCTTACGACATGCTTTAGCCTATATATTATCACGCCACTAAACTGCAAACTGACAACATTAAGTAAGCGGGATTGTCATTGTAACAGTAATTGTTTTCTATTGTCAATTGTGCCTTTGAATTTTGTTTGCAATTGAATATTTCACAAATGTAAAAACAATAAAATAAAGTTTTTATAATCAAAGGCGGATGAAGCCGGACGGGCACAGCTCGTATTGGATATGTAAAGTAATGTACTGACGGTGCGCATCTTGTCGACGAGTATGGCCTCGAGGCAGGCGGTCTGGCGCGCGATGTCGTGCAGCGAGTCCTGCGCCGGCTGCACCTTGTGCGTGCGCAGGATGCACGGCGCGAACACTATCGCCAGCGCGTTGGGGCCCATCCTGACACACACACACACACACTTGTTATCTCACTAATATTATAAATATATTTATATGGATAAAAACTATCCATGTTAGAGTTTGTAGCCTCAACTGCTGAACGAATCTCGAATAAATTTGGCATAGATGCGACAGTCTGGATGGACACACAGACTGTTTACATTAGTGTTTTTTTTTAATTCCCTGCAGACAAAGTCGCGGGCGAAAGCTAGTTTATTAATATTATAAATACTAGTTTGGATAGTTATTTCTTAAAAAGTATCTCCAGAAGGAGACCCTTGATCTGGATTGATGGCACAAATTTATAACACTGTCTAAACGTAGGCTGCTTGAAAGATTTTTTTTGTTTCTGCTCGGACAAAGCCGCAGGCAATACATAGTTAAATACATATAAAAACTGCTAAACTAACCTGTTATGATGTTCACCCAACGCCACCCGCGCCAGGTGAAATATCAATCTCTCCACCAGGTCGAAATTTGGTTTTGGTAGTTTCTTTAATATCGTGAATATACTTGATACTCGTTCCTGTTAAAATTTAATTGATTAATGAATGAAGATGTATGTAATCAAACCAGGGAGAATGTGCAGGGTTGTCACAAAACAAAAGGTTTAGAAACCTAAAGTAAAAATTTATATTGTATCTGCAATATATTTGAAATTATTATCAATTTGCCCTTTCCCCTATGGAGGGTCAGCTCAGTATGTGCTGCTCTTCCACACATTTCTATCAGCTATCATCTA